GAGAGAGAGGAGAAAGATGGAGGGAGAGAGTGAGTGGTGAGGGAGGGAGGGAGAGAGAGAGAGGGAGGGATAGAGGGATAGGAGAGAGAGAGGAGAGTGGAGACAGAGGGCGGGAGAGAGAGAGTGTGGAGAGAGAGAGAGGAGAGAGACAGAGGAGAAAGACAGAGAGAGAGAGTGAAAAGCGAGAGAGAGGGAGAGAGGGATGGAGAGAGAGTGAGAGGAGGGAGAGAGAGGAGAGTGAAGAGAGAGGGAGAGAGAGAGAGGAGAGAGAGAGTGTGGAGAGAGAGGAGAGAGTGGAGAGAAAGATATAGAAAGAGAAGAGAGAGAGTGGAGAGAGAGGGAGGGAGAGAGAGTGGAGATAAGGGAGGGAGAGAGAGAGTGGAGAGGGAGGGAGGGAGAAAGAGAGAGGAGAGGGAGAAGGAGAGTGGAGAAAGAGAGAGAGGGAGAGAGAGAGTGGAGATAGATGGAGTGAGAGAGAGAGTAGAGAGAGGGAAGAGAGAGAGTGGAGAGAGAGGGGAGAGAGAGCGTGGAGAGAGAGAGGAGAGAGAGAGTGAAGAAAAACCGAGAGAGAATGGAGAGAGAGAGAGAGGGGAGAGAGAGAGAGTGGAGAGAGAGTGGGGAGGAGAGAGAGACAGTGTAGAGAGAGGGACATAGAGAGAGGGAGGTAGAGATTGAGAGGAGAGAGAGAGGTGAGTGGCGAGTGAAGAACGGAGACAGAGGAGAGAGGACAGAGCGTGGAGCAAGAGAGAGAAGAGAGAGTGGACAGAGAGAGAGAGACGCGTGAGAGAGAGTGGAGAGAGAGGGAGAGAGAGTGGAGAGAGAGGGAGTGAGAAAGAGAGAAGAGAGAGAGAGTGGAGAGAATGGGAGGAAGAGAGACAGAGTAGAGAGGGAGAGAGAAAGAGGAGAGAGAGAATGGAGACAGACGGAGGCAGAGAGAAAAGGTGTGAAGAGAGAGAGAGGGGGGATAGGGACAGAGGGAGAGAGATAGAGAGGAGAGAGAAAGAGAGAGAGTGGTGACAGAGAGAGGAGAGAGAGGGAGGGAGAGAGAGAAAGGGAGGGAGATAGGGGACAGAGAGAGAGAGTGGAGAGAGAAGGAGGGAGAGAGAAGGAGAGAAGGGGTGGGAGAGAGGAGAGAGAGAGAGGAGAGAGAAAGAGAGAGTGGATAGAGAGAGAAGAGAGAGAGGAGAGAGGAGAGACGAGGGAGCGAGAGAGATGGAGGGAGAGATAGAGGACAGAGAGAGAGTGGGGAGAGAGAGAGAGAAAGGAGAGAGAGAGAGTGGAGAGAGAGGGAGGGAGAGAGAGAGAGGAGAGAGAGTGGAGAAAGAGAGAGTGGAGAGAGGGACAGAGAGAGAAGAGAGAGAGAGGAGAGAGATAGGAGAGAGAGAGGTGAGAGAGAGAGAGTGGTGAAAAAGAGAGTGAGAGTGGAGAGAGAGGAAGGGAGAGAGAGAGTGGAGAGAGAGAGGGAGGGGATCGAGAGATAGAGGGAGATAGAGAGAGAGGAGATAGAGTCAGGGAGAGAGAGGTGAAAGAGAGTGAGGAAAGAGAGAGTTGGAGACAGAGAGAGGAGAGAGAGAGGAGAGAGAGGGAGGGAGAGAGAGAGGGAGGGAGAGAGAGAGGAAAGAGAGAGTGGAGAGAGAGAGAAAGGAGAAGAAAGACTAGAGAGAGAGGGAGGGAGATAGAAAGGAGAGAGAGAGAGGGGAGAGAGAGGGTTGGAGAGAGAGAGTGGAGAGAGTGAGAGGGAGAGAGAGAGGAGAGGGAGAGAAAGAGGAGAGAGAGTAGAGACAGAGGGAGTTAGCGAGAGAAAGAGGGAGGTAGAGAGGAAGATTGGAGAGAGAGAGAGGGAGGGACAGAGATGGAGGGAGAGAGATAGAGAGGAGAGAGGAAGAGAGATAGTGGAGAGAGAGAGGAGAGAGAGAGGGAGAGAGGGGAAAGAGAGATAGTGTGGAGAGAGAGGGAGGGAAAGAGAAAGAGAGAAGGGAGGGAGAGAGGAGAGAGCGAGGAGAGAGAAAGAGAGAGAGTGGACAGAGAGAGGAGAGAGAGAGGATAATGAGAGAGGGAGGGAGAGAGAGGACAGAGAGAGAGTGGGAAGAGAGACAGAGAAAGAAGAGAGAGACAGTGTGGAGAGAGAGTGGGGGAGAGAGAGAGAGAGGAGTAAGAGTTTTGAGAGGGAGAGAGGAGAAAGATGGAGGGAGAGAGAGAGTGGTGAGGGAGGGAGGGACAGAGTCAGAGTGAAGAGAGAAGGAATGAAAGAGAGAGAGGGAGGGAGAGAGGGATAGGAGAGAGAGAGGAGAGTGGAGACAGAGGGCGGGAGAAAGAGAGAGTGGAGAGAGATAGGAGAGAGAGGAAAGAGAGGGAAGAGGAGAGGGAGAGGATAGAGAGAGAGAGTGGCGAGAGAGAAAAAAAGGAGAGAGAGAGTGGAGAGAGGGAGGGAGATAGAAAGGAGAGAGAGAGTGGAGACGGAGGGTTGGAGAGAGAGAGTGGAGAGTGTGGGAAGGAGAGAGAAAGAGGAGAGTGGGGAGAGAGAGAGTGACAGAGAAAGAGTGGAGTGAGAGATAGAGAAAGGGAGAGAGAGGAGATTGGAGAGAGAGACAGAGAGAGAGTGGAGAGAGAGAGAGGAGAGAGATTGAGAGAGAGAGGAGAGACAGAGAGTGGTGAGAGAGAGTGGAGAGAGAAGGAGGGAGGGAGAGAGAGTGGAGAGAGGGAGTGAGATAGAGAGAGTAGAGAGAGAGAAAGGTAGAGAGAAAGAGAGGAGGGAGACAGAGAGAGATTGGAGAGAGAGAGTAGAGAGAGGTGAGACAAGGAAAAAGAGAAAAAGGGAGAGGATAGAGAAAGAGCAGAGAGAGGGAGAGAGAGGGGAGACTGGAGAGAGAGGGAGGCAGAGAAAGAGAGTAGAGAGAGAGAGGAGAGAGTGAGAGTCGAGACAGAGTGAGGTGAGAAAGAGTGGAGAGAAAGAGAGAGAAAGAGGAGAGAGAGAAAGTGGAGAGAGAGGGAGGGAGAGAGAGAGTGCAGAGATAGGGTGAGGGAGGGAGAGAGAGAGGAGTGACAGAGAGAGTGGAGAGAAAGGGAGGGAGAGAGAGAGTGTGCAGAGAGAGGGATGGAGAGAGAGAGGGAGGGAGAGGAAAATGGAGAGAGAGAGTAGAGAGAGAGGGAGAGAGGAGAAAGAGAGTGGAGGGAGAGGAAGGCAGAGAGAGACTGGAGAGAGAGAGAGAGAGGGAGAGAGACAGGAGAGAGAGAGGAGAGATTGGAGAGAGTGGGTGGGAGAGAAAGAGTTAGGAGAGAGCGGGGGAGAGAGACAGAGAGGGAGGGAGAGAGAGAGAACAGAGAGAGATAGTGTAGAGAGAGGGAGAGAGAGGTAGCGAGACACAGAGAGGAGAGAGAGACTGAGAGAGAGTGGAGAAAGAGAGAGAGGAGAGAGAGACAGAGGAGTGAGGGAGGGAGGGACAGAGA